AAATTTGTTTTTCCTTATGCTTGTTCTGGGCACTGCTCCCCCCCCCCCCCAAGTCCCCTCTATGTATCTCCTTCACTGCCATCCTGGCAGATGGCTCTCTGAACATTGTTTACCTTGATCAGTGGGCCCAGATGCGGTGTAACTCCATAGGCATTCCCACATCGCACATTTATCCTGGTCTATTCAAAAAATGGGACCGACAAGATGCAAAAGTACCTTATTGCCATCACACTCACTCATTATCCTATTTGTTCATTGTATGAGCTGTGTGTCCCTGTTGTCCACACTTGTTTGCACCACAGTGTTCCTGGACATATGGGCTCCCTCCCGAATGACTGTATGGACACAGACAAACTTCCAGATGTTTCCATGTAGTGCTCCAGATGCTTTTGGCCCCACTTAGGAATAGCAGCACTCCAGTCTATTGTTTTGATGCCTGATTAACCCCTGTGAGAAAATCATGAGGGCACAGAAGCTGCCCACTTCAGATTTTAATGGATTTGTTTTTACTGAACAAGGCTTAATTCTGGGCCAGTTTGTGCAATAAGTGTGTTTGGATCTGCATAACATTCGGGGCAGCTCCAGAGAGCATTGTTGCACAATGAAAGGGAGAACATGGATTGACCTTGGGCTTTTCCTCAGATGTGGCGGTGTGACAACAATATGGATTCAGAAGGGGGGCTCAATAAATAAGGTGATCTTGGGGCTGCAATGTCAGTTCAACCTGAAAGATAACTCAAGACGTTTTAGTTGCTTTCCTGATTTAAAGGTGCAATAGGTGATTGTCTTCAGAAACATTTTTTGTTACATCCCGATAGCAATCATTAAGTTAAGTGGTCTGAATGTATTTATTTGTATTTATATATTCTGTGGAAGGCGTAGGACCAAGAAATGTTCGGCCAATCAAAACGCTCGGTCCGAGCATTTTAATTGGCTTTCCTACCTGCCTGTCAACGTATGTATTAGCATACCTCTGCGCACCCTGTTCGCGAAGACAGGATATGTCATCAGTGCATTCACGCACGCTGTGCAGACAGAGCGAGAATGGCAGACAAACATCAACAACTCGATATTCCTTCCTGGTATTGTAGTACTTTTAAAGTTTTCTCACTGGTGAATGACACATGATGTAGCCCAGCGGTTCCCAATTCCTGTCCTCGCACCCCCCAGCGCTGCATTTTTGCATGTCTCGCTTAGTTAACACACCCAATTCAGATAACCAGCTTGTTAGAAGTGAGCTATGTACATGAACTGTGTTCCGATCGATATGATCCCTACACAGTGTTCATTGCTCCCTACTCTCTGAGCAGGGGAAATCCGTTGAAGTTTACTTAACTTCAGAGCATTCATTCACGGATTTGCGCTGCGTAGCGTCTTCACACACATCACACTCACACACACATCTTCACATCCAGTGCGAGGATTGGAATTGGGAACCGCTGATGTATTGTAGTAATGTTGTCTCTGGTATTCTGGTCTGTGAGCGTATATGCGTTCAGGGGGCATGGCTTTGGACGGCAATTGCAGGGAGGGTGGAACGTTCGCTTTCAGTGCTATCAGGCTAAAGTTAGCATTTTCCATGATCTCCTACTACACCTTTAAGAAATTTATTTTTCCACCCAACCGTATGCCTTGGTATTGATTGTCTGAATTTAAGAGATTATATTGCAGCCTTGAAGTCTTGAAGAGAATCTATGTGTCGGCTTAGGTGCGTTTATGAAGACCCCTGGTATTGTCCAGCAGAGATTCGTCAAAGGCTGACCTGCAGAAACGTCCCCCATCTGCACAGGCATTCAACAGCCTGACATGTCTATTATTGTACATTTAAAGTGCCTTTTTCATAATAGTTTAAATTCTGTTGGATACACAAGAATGTGAAGGGTCATTCATATAAGTAAAAGATTACCTCCAAGGCATCATATTCCATGTTGTTTACAGCTCGTCAATGTATGTTGTCCTCTTTGTGGATCTTTCCAACAGGAGGTAGCGTTCGGGAAAAATCAATGCACACTAAGGCATGTAACAACTAATTTTATCCACTTTCTAAACCGAAATCATTCATGCAAGAATAAACCAATTGGGACACAAGAATGAGGCATATTATTCCACTTGAGGACAAAACAAGCTGTAGTAGATATGTACAAAACCTGCACACATCTATATGATATGAATTACTTCAGGTCATTTTGAAACAATTTATAGCGCACTACATGAATACGGTACACTAGTGTCTCTAGCAAATATAATTTAATCAGTAATTACAAAACAACATTTGAACCCAAATTAGCTGGAACTTATTGAATGTCAGTTTACTGTCGTCTAAGTTTTCAGTCCTGTTAGTTGCAGTGCTGATACCAATTTTGGCTTTTTGTTTATTAGTGAATTTTTAAAATACATTTATCATTAATTTTGATGTTTATTTAATTGGAACATAGGGCTGCTTATTTACTTAATACTCATAAAAAGGTACATTTGTTTTCCTGCTCTTACTTATGCTTAAAAGTACTACAAAAGAGTGTAAATATCAATATTTATTAGCGGCAAGCAGCACCATGCTGACTTTCTTTCTCATTCTCAGTGCCTTGGGTGCTTGTAGCTGTTCATTAATGCTTCATTTGACAGAACACTTGTGCTCTCCTTCCCAAATGGTGCCAGTGAGTATAAAAATAAGAAAGAAGGGTCCAGAGCCATTCATGGATTCAGTGTTTTGTTAAGGCTTGTCCAATGCTTTGTTGCTAAAGGCCACCACCCAGTTTGACAACTGGTCTACCAATTAAAACTTTAAAAAATATCTCGCATACAAAAATTGCAGGTAAGCTTCTGTTGAGTATATGTAGTCCACACTATTCATTGAGTTGCAGCTGTTTTTATTTATTTTTCCTGTAGAACGTGCAGATAGTTGGTTTATGCATATAAAAGATAATGTCTCATGCAGGCTAAGTTAAGGGCTGTGCTTCATAATATTTGTGAATAAAAACTGAGTGCAAAATATTCATCCAGCCTATTTCAACCTATTCCATTTTTTGGAGATTTCTGGCCTTGGCACTGGTGTGTTTTCCCTCTTTAAGCTAGCAAATAATTTTTTTTTTTTAAATGTGACAGTTTTTCTAATAAATACGATTATATTCAGAAAGTTTATTGTTTCATGGCTTTTTTGGCCTTGTATTCTGTATGTCATTGTGTACAGGATATCTACTCTTTACGCACCATTTTCTGTCAGATTTGCGTAAAACAATTGAGAATTCCTTTAAATGACTATCATCTAATTATCAGGTTATTGTACACATTGTACAATATAAAATGTATATTTATTGGATGATGAAAGACAGTACACAATACAGTGAATAAATGCTAAAGTTGATATTCAATTAATTTATTACAATTTGTGACATTAAAGTATTTGTGTAATAGTCAATGTCATTTAAGTTTTTTTTCAGAAATGTCAAGTTTTAGTCATTGTTGAATAAATGATTTCACAAAGAAGCAGTCACTGTTAGAAATTGTTAAAATAAATCGCATTATAATTGTATCTGTATTGTTGAAAACCACAGGCGCCATCCGCCTCTCTTCTGAGGCGAGAGCTTCTTCTTCTGAGAGCTATTTACAGGACTGACTGCTCGCTTTGAATTATCATGCAGGTTGCTTTCATGTCTCCTGAGTGTTAAAGGCAGTGCACCCGTCATTTCTCTGGAGTTTTGCTATTTTGTGCAGACAAAACTCTCTCTGCGGGCCTTGTGTTTAGCCGCCTGGGCCAAGAATCTCCCGCAGAGTCATGGCAGTAGCGGGGAGCAGCTGGGCTTGTTCTCTGCTCCCTAACCAGCGTAGTTTTATCCAGCTGTCATCTGCAGCCTCTCCCAGCTGCTACCCAGCATGTTAACCCATTTCTGCTGCAGAAAATCAGGCGCACACTGGGACCAGGCCCAGTCCAGATCTTCACATAACAGAAGAACTGTTTTAATTTCACTAAATTAAAGTTTAAGTCAAGCTCTCAGCTTTTTTTTTTTAATTGCGCTGAAATGTTTTTGAATGTAGATAACCTGCTTTACTAAATGGTGTCCTAACTAGAGATTTGTTAATTTATATTCTGTTCTGTCTGTTAGGAACAACCTCAAAAATTATCAGGCTCCGAGAGGAACCCGCTGAGTATGTGGACACTCAGAGAGGGAAGACTCCAGTGAATACCACACTTATCCCAGTCAAGGGCATCAACAACCTGGGTAACACCTGCTTCTTCAATGCTGTGATGCAGGTAAAGTCTTGTCCAAGAGCTTAAATCACTCACCTGACATTTGGTTTGTGTCAGTTCTGTGTGTTTTGGTGGAAGCCAGCTGGTTTATGGTTTATCTGGGCTGTTACCAGAAATTAATTCAAATATATTATGTGGAAGAGTCACTAAAACGGCACCTTCACCCTTATGGCCTTGAGAAAACACCCTATTTTTGCTTGTTTCAAAGGGACAAGCTTATTTCAAGAAGGACACTTCAGATTATTTTACAAATTAATCTAAATTAAATTAACAAATCGAACTGTATGTGTGTGTTTGCATTTTTTAAAGAAGTCTCTTATGCTCAATAAGGTTGCATTTATTTAGTCAAAAATACAGTAAAAACAATTTAAAATAACTGTTTTCTATTTAAATATATTTTTAAAATGTAATTTATTCATGTTATTCCAGTCTTCAGTGTCACATGATCATTCAGAAATCATTCTAATATGGTAGTTTAGTGCTCAAGAAACTGTTCTTATTATCAATGATGAAAACACTTGTGCTGCTTAATATTTTTATATATTGTTTGTGTGCTTTGGTTTAGAATCTCTCCCAGACCCACATGCTGAATGACCTAATTCAAGACGTCAAGGAGAAGGGACATAAGATGAAGATCTGCCCCCCTGCTGAGACTAAGTTGGTAGGTTCCACCTATCATGGACTGGACTAGTCCCGTCTCTGTCATAATATCACTCATATTAACTTTTAAATATGCTCTTAACACCTCACTGCTCTGTGTGTTAGATATGATATGAGTGCTATGCTTTCTTACAGGGGCCACTAACAGTGACGTTGCCCAGCCCAGAACCCCTCACCTCAGCCATGTTCCTGTTCCTCCAAAGCATGAAGGAGCCTGGGAAAGGGCCTGTCTCCCCCAAGATCCTTTTCAACCAGCTATGTCAGAAGTATGTTTACATTGTCGTCATTTGTAAATATACACTATGAAAGTCTCTGAAAGCTGAAGGGTCAGCAAATCTAAACTTAGCTAATTGATCGGCACTGTACGCCAAGCGGTTTCAAGCCTCTGTTTTAAACCCAAATGGCTGGTTGGATCTCTGCTCTCAGGGATGATTTTTTTAAATGCTGCGCACAGGCTGAACGGTTCACTGGCTGTTGTTTAAACGTTGTTTGATCGTGCTGAATGGTTGGGTGGCTCAGACAGGAGCCTGCCAGGCAGTTGGGTGTCTCTCTGGTGCTTCTGTGATATTTAACTCGGGTACTGTGCCTTTATCAGACCTGTGGGTTTGCATATGTGTTCATGTGCGTTCATCTCAGCCTTAAGCACACTAATTCATTTGAGTATATGCACGTGCACAAATCAGATCACACATCAGCCATTATGAATGCATAAAGCATGAACAGTGCTTTGAAAAAAGTAAACATTTATGAATACTTTTGATTTTTATAAAGTTGATAGATAAAATATGCTGAAAAAGGACACTTTCTTCACTTTCTCTTTCACTTTTTCCACATCTGCCTGATGTCTTTTATATGTACTACACATACGCTAACGTTCAAAAGTTTGGGACCTGTAAGGTTTTTTCTTTTTTTAGTGTTTAAAAATGTTAAAGTCACTGAAGATGCATTGATTTGACCTGTCACTAATACACTCTTTTTTTAAGGGCTGATAGTAATAATCGTGCTTCTGTTTACAAGCCACAGACAATAGTTACCCTCTCTAGTTACACAAAAGTCTGGTGTTATCATGTGAGGGGTCAAGGGGTCATGACATGAGAAATCAAATTTGCCTTGATCTTTTGGCATACAAGAGGTGTTTGTACCATTAAAACATCCTGTTTCAGTTTCACAGTTTAAAACGTCCTCCTCATTTTAAACAAAGCATTTATTTAATCAAGCTCCAAAAACGGCTCGCTTTGGATCTGAGGGGCAAGGTGACGTCACCTGGCCACAGACATTTGCATAAACACCGCCTCCAGAGCAAGACATAATCTTCTCACCATAGGCCCCGCCCACTGCCATCCAGTCACTTAATGCTTACTTGATTACACTGAATGCGAGCTGCATCACTAACTGTAAGTAAATTATTTCATAATGCTTTGTCTGGAAATTACATTTTATTTTGATTTAGTTGTCAACACACTCACATGCAATAGTGAAGGGGGCGTTTATTAGGGTGACCATATTTTAGTTTTCAAAAAAGAGAACAGTTGGGGCAGGATGCAGACGGGGGGGGGGGGGGGGGGGGGGGGGGGGGGGGGGGGGGGGGGGGGCTTGTTGGGTTTGAGGGGGGTTAAAGTAGTCCCCAAAGTAGCGCAATGACCATATCCCAAATATCAAAACTCCTAAAATACATATTTTACAGTCACTGTTATGTAGATTGGTCTTAAACACAGCTAAAAGGCTTCTTACCAGTGGTCATCCTTCACAAAACTTAACATCTACCACAGTTTATCATAGGTAGAATGCAGAATGTTTTAATACAAGCATTTCAGTCAAATGCAATTTGTAATATTTCAAACCTTTAACCCACGGGAGAAAATAAACCCACCACAACAGTTTAAAATCACCCCAATTTCGTGCAAAATTATGCAGATTTGGCAACCCTGCATCCAACACGAGCTGCATCCAAAGTGATTTAAGTACTCCGCATATTGATAGCGGCTCTCTAATGCGCAAAAATTATATTCAATATTAGAATGTTTGCGGGAGCAGGCCAGAAATTCAGCGGGAGTGGGATTAAGAAAACAGTCCCGCTCAGGGCTTTAATACAAAAACGCACACAATGAATGGCGACTGTAGAAAGCAAAAGCCAAATCCCAGACATTTTAGAATTTAGAAATCCCGGCTGGAGAGGACATGTCTGGGGAAAAGAGGACGTGAGGTCACCCTAGTGTTGATAATGTTTCCTATGCAATGACGTTAGCCAATCACAGTGGCCAATTACTGGCAAGCCTTAAAGGACCCACCACTTAAAAACAGGTCATTTTAAAGAGAGTTTCAGAATGAGGGTTCCAAATATTTTTTTCTTTTCTTTATTAAGTAAACCTCAAGGAACATATTAAAAAAATATATATATATGTCATGACCCTTTTAAACACACAGAATTTCTCTGCCTCAGATACACCTTTAATATAATTCCCCCTCTGCACACCCACATGCGCACACTTTGAGCACTCCAGAGCGGCAGCTCATTGGGTCAAGTGAAGGCCTTCTGTGCTGCACAGTTTATGTGTGTGCGCTTGTGCGATCCAGCATGTCCTTGACAGGAAAGATCCTGTTTGTTTAATGCGTTTGTTGACTGGCAAACTACTGGTCACAGCTTTTGGTCTGATGGGGCACTACTGTGCCATCTTGAACATTTGCTATGTTGGACAATGTGGCAGAATGGCATCTTTTGAGACATCACGCTTTAAAAGACAGTGTTTTTGAAGGTGGGATGAACACCAACCATAAAATGGGTGAAGGACAAGTAGCCTGTGTGTGTTACACAGCTGAGTGCTATTGGCATGGTTGATCGAGGGCCAGGTCATGCTGCCAGCTGGACAGATCTGAGCAGCACCAGTGCCAGCAGCGGTCCAGAGAGCAGTCAGCAGCATTCCCTGCTCCTGGTGCTAGTGAGGGTCCCAGCCTGTAAACACGCACACTGACCCTGAGCCCAGATGTCCTTATCTTCCGCTTTCTGTTACTACATTTGAAATTGAGTTATAATTATGTTTCGTACCCTGTGCATACTTCACATTGAGGTGGAATGGAACTTATTTCATGTTTGTTAGTATAGAGATTCAAGCACGTATTCACAGGTTCCAATTACAGCACTTTCAAGGATGTTCTGGTTGTGCGAGTTGGCAATGTGAAATAATAAGCTCTAGTTACACTGGCTGCTATTTTGGTTCTCATATCTCATAAATTTTCTCCCAAATTTTATCATGTAAATTTTTTTTTCCCTCTTACAAACATCTGGAAAAGTCATTTTGGTTAAAAAGAGTGGCCCTCTTAAATGACATTCAGTTCTTAAAAATTCTGGGATTTATATAATATATATGCACACTACTAGTTCTGGACAGTTTAGGTCTTTGAAGTCAAAAAGATTGAGAACCACTAAAATAATTTAATAAATAGAAATTATTTTATTTATCACAGCAGGCCAGCACAGCTATTTGAACGTTTGTTACCTGGTGCAAGAATCAGTTACAGTTTATTACAAGGTCATTGTACTAAAATATTTGTCTTTAGATTATGATGATGAAATGTTTACTTAACAGATTTTGGGAGTGCTTAGCTATGGGATGAATCTATATGTATGTTTTTGTCTCATATATCTGTATGTTTTTTGCTCAGCGTAAGATGCATGTTTGGGAATGTTTTATATTCAACTGATAGTATTATGCTTGTGTGTGCATGTGTGCATTGCAGCATTGCACTGGGGCTGCCTGGCGTCTGGTACTAACTCATCCGCTGTTAATTGTGTTAGTGGTTACAGCTGTCCGTCTGTGGCAGGGCCATATTGGGTGCACCGCTACAGGCTCCTTCAGCCTTCTCTTCCAGTGGAATGAGCTTCCAGAACACACTCAGTCTCTCCCACCTCTCCCACTGGAGCCCATCTCACCCGTCAGCTTCCCTCCAGAACACATTCACTCTGTTCCTGTCCTTCTGCAGCTCGTGCTGTGCTTGTACCAGCCTGATCCGCTTACTGTTTGAACCTCCTACCATAGAGCTAGTTTGGGTTTGACACTGGCAGATGTGGATATCTAGAGAGACACTGAAACATAAAAATGATCACTCATAAAAAAAGTAATATTAGTCAATATCTACTATACATACACGGTGGGGTTCAAATTCAAATTCTGTGATTACAAATGATGAGATCACCAAATGAAACAAAAAAGTCAAATACATTTTGGGGGAAAAGAGTCTCTTGGGCTTAACAAAGCTGCATTTATTTTATTTAAAAATGTATTTTAAAAACTAATATTATTGCAGTTAAAAATAATGATTTTCTATTTTAATGTATTTAAAAATTTAATTTATGCCCTGTTGGCAAAGCAGAATTGTCAGCAGCCATTACTCCAGGCTTCAGTGTTACATGATCCTTCAGAAATCATTCTAGTATGCTGATTTGTTGTGCTGCTTAATATTTTTGTGGAAACGATAATATTTTTTTCAGGTTTATTTGATGAATAGAAAGTTTAGAAGACTGCGTAATTTATGCCCTGTTGGCAAAGCAGAATTGTCAGCAGCCATTACTCCAGGCTTCAGTGTTATATGATCCTTCAGAAATCATTCTAGTATGCTGATTTGTTGTGCTGCTTAATATTTTTGTGGAAACGATAATATTTTTTTCAGGTTTATTTGATGAATAGAAAGTTTAGAAGACTGCATTTATTTAATAAATGTAAGTCTTCACTGTCATTTTTAATGCATCCATGCTGGAAAAATAATCAATTGACCCCAGACTTTTGAACTAAAGTGTATATTTATAATTTATCAAATTAATATTTTATTTTACTTCAGAAAAAAATAAAAATTCTAAAACTAAAACTCCAGGTGTTCTAGATTTTAAATTGGTCTCAGACTTTTAGACTCCACTGTAGGTTGCTGTGGTATTTTTATGCTGGAAGTTGCTACAGAACAGTAGTGTTGATAAGAAAAGAAGCAGTGAGAAACCGAGAAAGGGGAGGGAAGCCGTCTCCCCAGACCTCCTGCTCATGACCTGTGTTAGAAGCAGGTGGCTGGACATTCTTAAACACACTCCGGTCACACAGAGCCGCACAGAACGTCAAAACTCATCAGCCCACGGTAGAGGCGTTCCAGACTGCCTGACCATCCGTCCTGCCAGCACATTCATTCACCCAGCCTGTCCTCACAAACGCAGTGCTTGCTAGCTTAGCAGGTAATAGGAAAATCATTGATGAGCATCTGGACAGCCTCAGGCGTCCCAACCCGACCCAACACCTTGACTTGCCCCTTTACCCTTGGGTTCATTACCAGGCCAAATGGCCTTCCCCTCATCTTGACCAGCTATCCAGCCTCATTGCACAACAGGTTGATGCAGGGCCGGCTTCAAACACCCATATGTTGCCCACAGCTGGCCCACATCTGGCCTGAGCTACCCAGCAGAGAGTCTAAGGAGTTGTTTCCTAAACGCCCAACATGTTTTTCCGCTAGATTTACCACAGGGCTAGCTGGGAGGAAGGACAAACATATCTCCACAGTGCCACTGTCCTCCAGTCTGGAGTATTTAGGGTGGTCTTGTCTGGTTCTGTTCTGTGCATGTCTGTAATTTCAGTCATTTTGAGCATGTGGCATTAAATGTGTTTGAAGGACATCAAGATATAACAAGTGCTTAGGGATGTACTGAATTTTAGGTCACTGTAAATGATGGTCATAATCATAAAGGCCATAAATTGCTGTTGTTGGTTTAAAAAAAACATGAAAATCTTGGCTGAAAATTACATTGAATTGGATTTACTGTTAATACAAATGTTTTTTTTTTGGAAAGTGCATACATACGCACACATACATAATTTTCTGGGATTACTTTTAATGGTTTCATTATTGAATATTTGCATTTTGCATGAACTTTTGTATAACCCTTAATTTTACTGAGAACATTTTGTCCATTTTAAAGTCTCCATTACAGAACACTTTCATCTTAATAACGCAAACTCGTCACCAGCCTGGGAGAATCAAACAAAATTACACATCAACAGTGAGCAAAGCTGGTATATAATCACTCTAAAAGGACTTTGTGGTATAAGGTAGTTCTTCACATATTAAAATGCGGAAATTGAATACTTAAAGGCTCAATTTTTAGATTTTTAATAAAATTTTTCAGTTCTTTGAAATCTTAGATAAATTCCAATCTTGGGTTTATAATTCAGTAGAATGAGAGAATTGGTGAAAGGTCGGACTATCTTTATATATCTGTTTGCGTGTGAAAGCGTACGTGTGGCTGCGTGTGTGTGACCGACCTCAGCTGGTTGAATGATGAAATTAAAAGTGAATGAAACTAAAGTTGTCAGGGAAAAATAATAGCTGCCTCTAAGATCCTGAAACCTCCCGAGAGGCAGCGAGAGTCACCTCATGCAGCATCAGAGAAAAGGCCTTGAGAGAAGATTGTCCATTCTTCTCTCGTCTTTGCTCGTCTATATGCTGCTGATTGCTTTTTGTGTGTGGCTAATTGGTGTTTGCGTGGCTTTGGCTCCTTTTGTCCCATTGGATGTATTTACACTTGTGCCAATGTGTTTGTGTGACAAGAATTCTCATTCTCTGTTCAGGGCCCCTCGCTTTAAGGGTTACCAGCAACAGGACAGTCAGGAATTGCTACATTACCTCCTGGACTCCATGAGAGTAGAGGAGACAAAGGTGAGTGCACGATTCATTTTTTCATTTTATTTATTTAAAGAGTAACTTTTGGCCCTGTTTTCACCTGGGATCCATCTCATGTAATACGATCACAAGTGGTCAGTCGAGATCATCATGTAGACCTGGCAGTAATGTGCATCTTATCTTCTTTAACCACTTGTGATTTAATTTTAAGGGGAAGGTAAAAAAAAATCATTGCTTTTAAGGCCACATTCAGATTATAAATAATAAAATAAATAGTAATGTAGTTATAATTAATAATAATTTAATAATAAATAATTAAAAAAATATAAAATATATATATTGAAAAAGTGTTTAAAGTTGATCTAAATGGATGAGTTTTAGCTTTTATTTTTTTTTTAAAGAATGAGCTTTTACACTTCAGGTATAGGGTGGTAGAGTTTTACACTCTGCTTGTGTGTTTGCATTGTCCTGTTTCCACTGGAGTGGCCTAAAACAGATGTTAATACCAGGTCAACAGGGGGTCTTGTTCTCAGCATTACGCCCTCAGTCCTCCTCACTGCATATATAAACTATACCAGTCACTGCAAAGGGCTACATTTGCAAACTGAAGGTGGGAAGATGACCTCTTTTGAGCAGATGCATAGTAGTTTGATAGAGTGGTTCTTGTCTTCTTGTGGGACTCTTAATGTGGACGTGCCGGGGCCAAGACCCACACAACCCCACCAGTGGCTCTGACTGCCCTAAGAAAGCGGGTGCAGCATCAGGCGATGAGCCCCAGGGCCAGCCAGGCCCATTCAGACTTGTGAATGTGGACAGTTGTGCCACTTAGGAACCTTGCAAGTGGCGCGACTGGCCTCATTGTGCATCCTGGGAAACAGTCAGCTGCTTGTTGAGGCTTTGTGATGGAGGACCGTCCCCACCTCCCTCCCTCCCTCCAAACTTAGGGGAGGCTGAGGGGGAGAAAACGGGAAACAATCTGGTTTAAATGTTCCTCAATATCGTGTACTTCATAAATTTACAGACAGCATGTACTGTCTCTCACACACACACACACATGCGCACACACAGACACATATATATATATATATATATATATATATATATATATATATATATATATAGAGAGGGCGCAGAGAGTATACACACCCACATATATTTCTCTCTCTTTTATTCTACTTGCCACAATTCTGTCTCTGAGCTCTTCAGGCAGTTCCTTTGACCTCATGATTCTCATTTGCTCTGACATGCACTGTGAGCTGTAAGGTCTTATATAGACAGGTGTGTGGCTTTCCTAATCAAGTCCAATCAGTATAATCAAACACAGCTGGACTCAAATGAAGGTGTAGAACCATCTCAAGGATGATCAGAAGAAATGGACAGCACCTGAGTTAAATATATGAGTGTCACAGCACCGGACAGGACCATGTGATATTTCAGTTTTCCTTTTTTAATAAATCTGCAAAAATGTCAACAATTCTGTGTTTTTCTGTCAATATGGGGTGCTGTGTGTACATTAATGAGGAAAAAAAATTAACTTAAATGATTTTAGCAAATGGCTGCAATATAACAAAGTGTGAAAAATTTAAGGGGGTCTGAATACTTTCCGTACCCACTGTATATTAGTTTTTAAGATGAAACAAATAAAAAATATTTATACACTACCGTTCAGTACAATTATGTTTTTTTTATTCTGCGTAGATGCATTAAATTAATCAAAAGTGACAGAAATAAATATTTATAATGTTATATGTTAGATATTTATGTTTCAAATCAATTCTACTCCAAGAATTCTGGAAAAAGTTAGTTTCATCAAAAATATAAAAAAATGCACCAGTTTTCAACATTAATGATAATAGCATATTAGAATGATTTCTGAAGTATCATGTGACACTGAAGACTAATGACTGCTGAAAATTCAGCTTTAGAAAATAGCTATTTTAAATTGTAATACTATTCATAATGTTAATGTTTTTGATTAAAGAAAAGCAGCTTTAGTGAGAATAAGAGACTAACTAAAATAACTAATTATATTTGAATTTGTATACCGATTTTGAGATCTAAACATGCAAAAGTTAAATATACAAGTGTATACAAACAGACAAGATTTTGCACAAAAAAACATTATCTTGTCAACTTAAAAAATAGTTGAGGTTACAATCAACATCATTATGATTTTGATTGTTTTATAAAAGTGCAAAATGCCTCATCTCTCACCTACAGTGTGCAACGGAGCTGAGACCCCTTAAGCCAGTCACCAAACATGGACACCACAATATTTATGTTGATTAGCCAATAGGATCCCTGGTCACAATATGCTAATTAACATCACTGAATTATCACCAATTAGCTGTTGAATAAAACTGCTAAGAATGGGGTGCTCAAGTGAGCTCAACTTCTCAAGAGAGTGTGGTGGCCTAGTTATTTTAGGGTGTGTGTGTTTGTGTGATTAATTAGTGTGTGTTGCAGCAGGGTCCGACACAGATGGGGGTTTGGGGGGTTGAGTGGCTGAAGGAGTGGGATTAACCAGGCTTTTGACCTAAATAGCCCGTCCCGAGCGTGGGGACGGGACAATGGGGGAGACTGGTCGCGCCCCACAGACATCGCCACCACGGCCAATTATCTATTGATTGGTGCTATACTGTGACTGTGTCTTCTAACAGCTCACTCACCAACACAGTCACTGACCATGTCATCTCTCATTAAGACCACAGGGACACTTGCCTTCACAAGTCTTTATGACCACACATACATGGGATATACAATGCATATGTGTTGCTGTGTATAATAAGTGAAGCACACACTTACTTTTCGTCACGTACACGTGTTCATGGCCTTGCGTTTGCTTTGGTTTATTTACCACAACAAAAACCTGAGGAAAAAAGAACACATCCAAGGGTTGAAGAGTTTAAAGTCTGAGGGGGAAAATGGCCGTGACTTATTTAATTTGTTTCTAGATGTCAAATTCAAGTAATTGTTGTTTTTTTCTTCTTTTTTTATTATTTAATTGAAACGCTAACTTTTCATTATTAAAAGATACAAGCTGCGATACTTTTCCTGTGCCTTTATTATTTTGAGCATGATAAAAGGAGCTTTTTGTGACAGCAACTGTTTGAGCTTCATTATCTAACAAAGTGGCATCACATTGTGTTTACATTGACAGCGCATTAAAGCAGGCATCCTCAAAGCCTTTAACAACCCCACAGAGAAGACAGCTGATGAGGAGACCAAACGACAAGTGAAGGGTGATCAGTCTATGTTTCCATCACCTGCATTTCACATCATTCAGAACAATATTGCCATCTAGTGACAGCTTGTATTCACAAGATTTAAAAAAAAACAATGACACTATTCACATGAAAACATTTAAAAAAGGATCTATTATTTGTGTTCCGAGTTGTTTGAATGTGTTTTTAAATAACATAAATATACTGTGTATGACATATATCAATTTTAAAATGTTCTACAGCTTATGGGAAGGAAGGTGTGAAAATGAATTTTGTCGATCGAATTTTTGTCGGAGAGCTGACCAGCACTATAATGTGTGAAGAGTGTGAACATGTAAGAGTTTCTCTATTTATGTAATGTACAATGTCCACATACAAAGCCAGATTGTATAAATTGTTCACGTTAAATTTAAATTTTATTAAAAAAAAATATGCATTTTAAATGTTACAATATTGTAAGTGTATACATATCAGTTTAATTTATAATATATGCCTTTTAATTTACTATAATACAATGTAATATGTATACAATATATAATATGTAGTACAATTTTTTTTATATAATACAGTGACTACTAATTGTAATGTGTAACATGTTTATATGCTTCACTCCTAGATTTCCACAGTGAAGGAAGCCTTCATTGACATTTCCCTTCCCATCATAGAGGAAAGGGTGAGACCCACAACTGTAAAACATCTGTTCCTTTATTTTATTTGCATTTAATAATCGTTCAATTCACTAAATGTGCTAAACTGTCTTGAATTAAGTGATGTCTTTTGAGGGTTTGTTGCTTTTCTTGCTCAGATCTCTAAGCCTACAAACCCTGGTAGACTGGGGAAAAGTGGGCGGGAGCAAGACGGTCCGGCCTCCCATGATGACTCGTCAGCTACCAATTCACAAGCCAATAGAAACAGCAGGAGGTTGAGTGGACAGGTAGGTGGAGCCAATATTAGAAGAGAGGCATTGATAGTTCTTCTACACTAACGTAACTAAGCCTTTATGCTCACCAAGGCTTCATTTATTTGATCAAAAATACAGTGCAAATACTAATATATTTTAAAATGTAATTTAATCCTGTGATGGAAATCTGAATTTTGAGCAGCCATTACTCCAGTTTTCAGTGTCACATGATCTTTCAGAAAACATTCTATTATGCCGATTTGGTGTTAAAGAAACATTTTTGTTCGTGTTTCTTTTATAACATTTATAAAAGGCTTTCACTTCTGATCAATTTAATGCATCCTTGCTGAATAAAAGTATTAATTACTTTAAAAAGAAAAACTTTACTGACCCCAAACTTTGGAGTTGTAGTGTATGTTTCCTTCGTGTTTTTTTTTTAACATTCTCTTAAGTTTTTTACATTGGCACAAAAACAAAAATCATTCCAATACAAATTTTTACAGTTTCATACACATCCTAATTTAACCATTTTAACATAGTAATGATATGGGAAAAGAAGAGAAGAAGGGGGGGGGGTTGCTTACATTAGGGTTCAGCTATTGCTTTCTTATTAAAATAATTAATAAAAGGCTTCCATGCTGCATAAAACATTTCATTTAAATTTTTTAGGGAAAATCTTATCTTTTCAAGTTGCAGGTAGGACATAACATTTTTAATCAGTGCCGAGCAGTGGGGTGGCTCTTTCTGTTTCCAGCAAAATCAATCTACGTGCTAAGAGTGTAACGAATCCAAGCATTATATGTTGGTTTTTAGATAGCTCCATATTATCACTACTGACACCAAAAACAGCTAAAATTGGGTCTGGATCCAATTGCTTTCCCAACACTTCTGACAATAAATGAAAAACTGACATCCAATAATTACTAATCTTAGAACAACTCCAAAACATATGTCCTAGTGTGCTTCGTTGTTTTTAACACTACTTTGTTTGTTTGTATGATGATGCACTTAGAAGCTGCAGGGTCGCCATTCGTCCACTTCTCATGATGAGAGAGGTGCAGATCTGGTTTCTAGCCGACAAGAGGAGGAGCTCTGTGTGGCTGGGCGTGGCCTGGCCAGTTGCCGGGCGGATACGATGGGCAGCCAATCAGACTGCAGCGAGAAGGATTCCAACCTGCAGGACAGCAGTAACGATGCGGACAGCGAGGCCTCCGAGAGCGAATGGTCACCACGAATCCCATCTGTGTCCACTCACAGTTGCACATCAGATAAAGTCTCAACCGCCACGACTTCAGCCTCAACAGCACACAATCCAAGTCTAAAACCAAACCTGAGCCCGAGCCCCACTCCGCAGGGCGGCGCTGTAGAGCAGCTTGTCAGTGCTGTGTCCAAGCTAGGCCTGGTGCACACTTCCACTGATACTCTACCTGTCAGTCACAGCCCAGAGGAACTGTCCGAGGTCCGGGAGAGAGACCGTCAGCACCATCAAGGGGCCTTCCAAGCCCTCTGTCACAGTTACACCCCCAGCTCTAAAGAGTGCTCCGTACAGTCCTGCCTGCATCAGTTCACCTCTGTTGAGCTGCTGATGGGCAACAACAAACTGCTCTGTGAGAACTGCACCGAGAGAAGGCAAAGGCAGATGAAGAGGAGTGGTATGTATACACATATGAAGTATATATATATATATATAGTTGCATATACTGACCACTGTGTAGTAAAGAAGTGTTGCTGAAAGATATATATACTACCTTTAATGAATACAGTAATATTCAAAAGTTTGGGGAAGATTTGTTTTATTTTATTTTTTATTTTGCAAGAAAAAGAGCTACCTGCATTTTTATGCTTACCAAAGCTACATTTATTTTATTTCAATATATATTATTTATGTATTTATTTATTTATTTTTCTTTATCAAAAATTTATCTGGAAATTGATCATAAATCCATTTGATCTGACAATTTATGGATTTTACACTGTGTAAAGTGAGTGTAAAGGATTTTACACACACTTTTTTCACCGAAATTGACTCTGCTTGTGGTTTTAAGGCACAATGTGTCAAATTTAGGTGTTTTGGCTGAAATCATGTAGTAAAAACCTTACATTTGTATTATTTTTTTAATTAAGTTACATATAAAACAATTAACATGCTTTAAAATAAAAAAAAAACGCTACGTGTATGCCATCCTTCCTTATAGCCACCATGTTAAGCATTGCAATTTCTTTGTCCATTTCTGCCTATTCATTCATTAAAAAATGACTTTGTACTGACTTCATAAACAATTACTTTATGCTGTCCAGATAGGGTTTTTAGGAGTTATTACAGAACACAGGTGTAAATCTTTATGTAGGAATAAATTAAATACAAAACATAAAATGCTATTTTTATTGCTGATCAGAAATACTGGTAAAAGTGTAGATCGGACTATGTTGTTTTTATGTATGTTTCAGATAAGAAGGCTGAGAAGGTGTACACCAGTGCCCGTAAACAGATGCTCATCTCGGCACTTCCTCCAGTGGTCACTCTTCACCTTAAACGATTTCACCAGGTCTGAATCCTCAGAGTTCCTTACATTGTAACCTGCTTTCGCCATTTGTGTCGCATAAGTACTTTTTGTGTGATTTCAGCCAGCTTGTTACCTAAACACAACTGCTATGTATTAACACCATCAGACATAAAATGTAAAGTTTAATTAATAAAATGCCCATTGTCGTTTTCTGAACCTATTAACCAAGCATACTTTCAAGAGAAAATAAGAGCTCTGGGGGGAAATATATATATATACAGTGCTGTGAAAAGGTTTTTGCCCCCTTCCTGTTTTTTTTTAATTTTTTGCATATTTGTCACACTTAAAAGATTCAGATCATAAAACTAATTTTAATATTACACAAAGATAATGCAAGTAAATACAAAATGCAGTTTTTAAATGATTTAATTTATTAAGGGAAAAAAGCTGTCCAAACCTACGTGGCCCTACGTGAAAAATTAATTGCCCCCTCCTGTTAAATCATAAAAGAACTGCAATTAACCACATTATTTTAGAAAGCCAAGTTAAATTTCACTAGCCACACCCAGGCCTGATTACTGCCAGACCTGTTGAATCAAGAAATAACTTAAATAGAACCCATCTGACAAAGTGAAGCATGCTTAAAGAGCAACACATCATGCTACGATCTAAAGAAATTCAAGAACAGATGAGAATCAAAACAGTTGACATGTATCAGTCTGG